TGTGTGTGTGTGTGTGTGTATATAATACCTAATATGACACAAATGCCTCGGACTCAGAATGAAAGGTCGGGGGAATGGAAGAAGGATAGACTGCCTGCAGGGTGGAGAGGGGAATTTATTTATTCATTAAAGCGTTGGAGGAATTTTATTTTAAATCTGGATCATTTTCCCTTATTTTTCAAATATTCATTTAAAAACTTAACAAGCTAACCACGCTAACGCGTTGACGCCGTCCAACCCCACGCACGGGGCGATCCACAGTAACTCATAAACTGAGTTTTGCCGTGTTAATGCAGGTATGGCGTTAACGTCATTTTAACAAGATTAACGCCGACAGCACTAGTTCATATTTAACAAAAGTGCAGACATAAGTGTGCACATTACTAACACAGCCAGTCCCTCAGCATGTCTGTACTCTCTGCTCATATCGCCTTCATATTAAATCATGTAAAGAACTTAACATTGCACTCAACAACAAACATCAACATGCAGGTCACAAGTCCCGTGTGACGTGGGCGGTCCTCTGAAAAGCTGAGTACTCCCGATGATTCAGCGTCTGGTAGAACTTCCTCGAGCAGCAACAACTTAAATTATTTTCTTTGGAGGAATTATTTTCTCGCTCTTCTTTACAACGTTGCTTCAGTTCATTGAGTTTCATTCGTTCACCTTTGTTGGCTAAATGTACTCATCCTGCAGGCTTGAATCACAGTCTCCTTGGTAAAAGCAGCTCATGCAACCTCCACAACCTGCTGCCTCAATGTGTCTTTGTCACTCAGTGTTGTCTCACCTGAATTCCTCCTATGGGCATATTAGTCTCTTGTAAATGAAATAAGTAATACACTTTTAACCCTCTCAGGCTCAAATTAAGTTTTTGTTGCTAATGCACAACCAAGTCCTGCAGTGGTGCTTCTGAGTAAAAAGGACTCATAAAATATGTTTGTGGGGTGATCAGGTTGTTAGTTTATAACTGTTGCAAATCGGCAACGTCTGCTTCGAGAGGGTTAATAATATAGTGTGCTAAAAAGTTGAAACAACCTGTAACACGAGTTCCTTCTTCACCCACAGGCTTCAGAAGCACAAACGAAGTTATAATCAGAAGATGATGATTAAGAAGATCAAAGAAAGCATCGAATATGTTACTAGTGATGCTTTATAGCAACATGCATAGTGAAGAATGATGAACTGCTTTAATTTATTTAGCTTTGACTTTAATTCATGAGACGTTTCGTTCTATTGTTTTTTATACTGTACATATTGGATTTGTAGAGACACATGGTGTAATATATTGTAATGTGTATTTTCCTAACAGTGACAGTGAATGAACTTTTGACAAAGGAATATTGTTTTTAGAACAAAACGACTGTGAAGATAAAAAGCAGTGGCTGAAATAAATGTTTTTTATCAATAAATAATTCAGTTGAGTCTTTTTTAATCTGGCACCCATTAGAATTAAAAAGGATGCTGTTGCAGCCCTGTTAGCTGGGTTATTATTGCAACGTGATTCATCGTCACTATCAGCTTCTACTATTGGGAAATTGACATTAACACGACTACAATGACATCATTAAAACCATTATTTCAGTAACATGAACATATCCATGATTATTTGGTATACTTTGACTCAGTACACATACAACAACATTAAAATAACATTAAAATATTAAACTATGATGCCTATCAATGTGAATTCTTCATTATTTCACTTTCACTTCCTTGCTAAAAAAAATTTTAAAAGTAAAATAAAAAATAATAAATATAACATTTAAAGAACACTACTTTAGAAACTACTGCATATATTTAAAGATTCCTGTTGAGTTTTGTTTTAATGTTAAACTTTTATCTACATTTAACCTTTTGTGTTGTCTGTTTATTTAACTTCATAAATCAACTTTACTTACTCAAAGTGTCTGATGAATCATTGATGTGTTGATCAAATAAATCAGATACTGCTGACTGTTATTATTTAGCGCTTTTCTACTCAACCTGAGCCATTAAAGCACTTTATACAACACACCTCGTTCACCCATTCATACAGCAGACATTTATGTTGTGGATAAACTGCATCTTAAACCAACTCAGTGTCTTATCTCTATCCTGTCTATCTTGACAGTTGTGCTTGTTCGGTGCAGCTAATATCAACTAAGCCGTGGTCACAATATCCACGAGCCTGGCAATATGCCTGCTGTTTAGGCGTCTAACCAGTCTTCTGTTATGTTGCCCTTGTAATGACGTCTGCAGTTTTTTGAAGTGGTTTATCTGAGGATTTGTCCAGTTAAGATATGTTTTAAACTATATGGCATCCTTGTAATTTGCTTGAAAGCCTCTTTGCATGTAATTTAGAGAATTTCCAAGAATTTAATCATCGGCTAATTGGAAGGCTTGATCCTTGGCCGCTCCAGTCTGCATGCCAAATATCCTGGGGAAAGATACTAACCCCAAGTTGCTCTGCAATGCATCCATCAGAGTATGACTGTGCACCAAAGCTAGAAAGCACTTACATGGAGAAGCTGCTCGGGTGAACGAGGTAGTTCAGCATTTTGAGTGCACAGTGTAAAAAAGTGCAGAGATGTAATGGTGAGTAGTTAAGTTCTCTGTATCTGTAGTGGAATACATTTTAAAAGTAACCTTCCCAACACTGTCTGCGAGGCCTCATCTCCCTTAATTGAAGTGACTGAATTAGACCTCTGTTTTTGTTTTGGAGTGTTTCATTGAATTATCTAGTATAGTGTATACACATAACAAGAGCAAAATCCCTGGTCCTCTCCCAGGTGGAAACACATATTTGCAGTTTTGTCAGGAGAGACATCTGGTGTAAAAGCCCAAATTAAACAGTATAAATTAAACTAGTGCAGCTAGCTTTAAATAAAGGAGCCACTGAAAGCAGTATGTGAGAAATAATATGATTTGCCGTTTGGTACAGACCACATAAAAACCATCCTTAATCATGCTAGACAACCAGTACTCACAAACAAACTCCTGCTAAGCAGCAAACATGGTCATCTTTCTGTGTTCAAAGGTGTTTTTTAGCCAGCAGAAGGTGGTCCTCATGCCTAGTTTTCTGGGAAAAAGAAGAAAAGAAAAGCGTACAAATATTTAAACATAAGGATGTCCATAAGTGCATAAGGCACCAGGACACCCTCCGTCACAGGTCAGTGATTGGTTTTGTAATCTAGATCTGCAGATCTACAGCCATATGTTCTGCACACTTGGGTGAAGCTCATCAATTCAGCTGAAACTGTTTGAACAGGGTCTTGTGATTGACAGTAGCTACCTAATTGGATGATTTGTCTTATTGGAGAATTGAGGACTGTCACACCTAATATGTCAGTGTGTTGTTGAGAGGGCATTTTGGTTCAGTCTCCTTGTTTGGCCCATTGTTTGGGGTGGAGTATTTGTCACTCCTCAGTTACTTTGTAGTTTTGGTAAATGATTGGTTCCTTGGCTACAGATGTTTTGGTGGTTTTTACATGGAATTTATCGTATCTGTAACCATTGGGAGCATGCCTGCTCCCGTTGATTTTAGGTCAAATTACTGTAACTGTTGAACCGTTGGTGCAATCGAAAAAGATTCCAAAGGTTCCTGAAAGCATCAACTCTGTGCTCAGTGATATTACAGTCATTACGGTAATCCCAGACACGACAT